TTTTTGCTAACACTGAACTTTACAGGTGAGCTGTGATAGTACACATTGAGAATAAAGGCTGTACCAGAATTTCAAGATCATTTGTATATCACATTACACATTGTCCTGGAGGCGTTTAATAGTTTTTATGGGAAACAACTTCTGTCCATGCTCCCATACCTTGCTAGGAATTATGGGGGGGTTGGAGAAGGGGAAATCTTACTGCTGCTATTAGCACACACACTCGCATACCTTAAGAATCAAAGTACTAAAAGTAATGTGTAAGAATTAATTTGAAGTGAAATTGACTTTCTTTAATTACATTTGGTGTTATATACTGTGATGCATTACTAAATAAAAAGAAATACCATCACAAATGACAAAAATCCATGCTTAATTTAAGCAGACCAATTACTTTAAGTGCTGCTACAGTCAGAAAAGTGATTCAAGGATAAGTATGGGAACACACAATGCCATTTCTTCAATAGCTTCCAGATCAAATTCAATGTAAAAGTCAAAAGGTCAATTTTTTTTTCTCTACCCCATGGTATCACAAATTCCCTGTTGGACCTGGAGAACTTGGCTGAATTATTTCTTTCCTGGCATTCTCTGCAGCTGCAATGATGATCATACATCAAAAGATGCAAACTTTTTACAGGAAAGTCTTCGTTTTTTCCAGGTAGATTTTATATTAATCTGGAAACTAGACATCCAGTATGCAGTTATACCTGAATAACTAGGCAATGAAGAAATTATGTAGAATAAATAGACAATCCTGTTCCTTGTTGGGTGAAAAGGTGCTTAGCCCCAGTCTATCCCTCCCCTTTATCACCTCATACAGCAGCATCAATGCAGAGATGTCTGAGGATTCCCTCCCTAAATGATTGCTGTTGCAGACTGATGAACATCAAGAAGTTACATTTCTCTACAGCTGGCTGCTTAAAATCTATATATCTTACTATTAAAACAGCAATCTCAATTCAAGCTTCTCCACAACAGCTCCAGCTGGGATGCACCAACCAATTAAAAAAAAAACCAAAAAAAATCCAAAAAAACAAACAAACCAGGTATTTTTAATAACACATGCAATCCCTACCAACACAGCTCATGCAGGAACAGTCAGACTCTTCCTGGTGGTGTCAGATTTGCTGAACAGGCACCTACCAATACATGTGCAGTTGGCTCAACACCTCAGGTGTCAGATTGCCTGTATTTACGTTAAGCAAGGTGTGCTCACTGGAAATATGTGATGCAGAGGTGGAAATATGTGATGCAGAGGTGGAAATATGTGATGCAGAAGTGGTTGTCATGAAATCATGACACAGAAAGCAGAAGATAACTTACGTTACAAACAGACAAGGATAAAAGAAAACTTAAACCAGGTAAGGTAAAAGTAGCTCATATGCAAATGCTCTGCATTGCTTCTTTTTTGTTGTGACAGTCAGTATTTCACATCACAAGTGATTTGCAGTGTTCCATGTGGACTGTGAAAATGAATGCATTTCTAAATTTTCATTACAATACTCCTCTGCAAATTAAATAAATGCAAGGGTAGCAGCCTGCACAGAGGGATCTTGACAAAAGACAGACCATTCCAGGACCAATATCTAGTTGTAAAATTATTAATAGCACAATTCCTGTAATTTCCAATCATGGCTGAGGCCCTTGACAGGCAGGACTCAGAAATTAAGCTGCCACATAATTGCTGTGGAAAACACAACTTCCCACAAAACCAATCATGCCGAAAATTAAGTTCCTTCCACATAGCAACATTGAACAAGTAGTATTCAAAATTAATGCAGCATCAATGAAAAAGAATGGATCTCTAATCTTGACAAAAATAATAAAATATTTAGAAATCAGTAAATTGCAGCCTTGGGGTTTTCCTCCTGTAGGAACCAAGACTCATATATAGGTTTGGAAGGTCAAATGTTCTTCAAAAGTTTCTTCTATAAAATTTTTATACAACACTTTTCTTCAGCAGACAACATTCACTTATTGACATCAAAATTTAAGAATAAAATATCCCAGCTACTTTTCACATCTGATACCATTTTTGTTGATAAAATGGACTCATGAAACACCCGTATTTTATCTTACATTTTGTAATATGGGTGTACAGACACGTATAAAGGAAAGCAGAGACCTAATCTAACTACAGAGATAAAAAATGTTTTTCAGTAGTGAGGTTAATCTAGTAAAAACATTGCTATTACTCACATTTCTCTTCAGAAATATGACTTAATATTCCTCATTGTTTTCATTTTCACATACAGGGGATCTGAATGGATAATTATCAACCAACCTTTCCCCTGTTGGTACAGCTCAGTAGGAATCTCTCGATTTCTTGTTGTAGACTTTAAGGCATTTTACTGTAAAGGACCATATCCTTTCACTGAAGTTGTGCATACATTTTTATCTGTCATTTCAGTGTAAAAAAAGGCATATTTTATTGTACCCACAAGAATATTAGGGGCTTGTTAGGCTGTTCAGAAATTACTCTGTGTTTCTAACAGCCAAGTCCATTACTTTTCCACAGAAATTCATAATTCAAAATGTATGTCAGAGAAGGGTCAAGTAAAAACTTTAATAAATAATTTTCAGCATTGATATAAACATGGGACTTCTTTAAATTATGCAATGCTATTTTGTCTTCAGAAAATCTGATAAGGAGGACACAAAGGGCTTTTAGAGATTAGCAAATGAACAAATTAAAACACTACTCAAAAGAACAGTACAACTTTCAGAGACCAGGTAGAGAAGGACCCCTTACTACAGAAAACCACAAAAGCCCAGTGCTGGAAACTCTGTAGTGACAGATATGTCACCTCCCTCTCCATGGCCAGCAGGGAACTCCTGCCCATTGGGCAGGGAGGTGCTGCTGGAGAAGCAGGAGCAGGGCTCTGTGGAAGTTCAGTGCTGAGGAAAGGGCCATGCCCTGGGAGCCAGGCATCTGTTTTGGAGCTCAGTGTGCAATATTCTGGGAAGTGGGTTATTTATCCTCTATTCACCGATCCATGCCCAGATCTGGCAAGGTTCAATTGGCTCCTGTATGGAAACCTCTCCCACCAAACTCTTATGAAAAAAATTATTCTAGTTGAATTAGCACAAGATGGATGTCGCATCCATGAGGAGAAGGAGAGGAAAGAGCCCGTGGGCAGCTGCAATGCAGACCACACCCCCCATTGGAAGGAGAAGAATGCCTGTGGCAATCTGCCATAACCTTAATGTCTTACTGATACAGCCTGTGCCAAATGGAAAAGATAAATTTGATCATAACTGAATTTAGAGGTACATCAATTAAGGGTATCAGGATTTGCTACTGAGATGTTAAGCCTTTGCAAAAAAAATAAATAAAAAAAGGAAAAGAAACACATCACTAGAATAAGGGATACCATCGCTCAGTAAGCAGGTTGGCTAGTAGGGAAAAGAAACAATAACAGTTTTCACATTGAGCATCTGGGGTGCTTCTAAGACATCCTAACAAGATTATTTTTTTCCCCTTCATTCTTGAAAGCACTGTTAGAATAATGTTGACCCTTTAAAGCCAAACCCCTGCTAAAGAACAGCCCTATCACTACCACAAGGCCACCAAAAGAACACCTACCATGTATCTTGTGACTTCTGCTTTCAAAGCATTCACTGTTCAAGCATTACAGAGGACAGTAATTACAGTTTATTTGCTGAGTTACTGGATTTTTTGAGTCTACAGCTTAGCTCTACAAGCATCATGAAAGCCTTCTCATGCTTAAAACAATTCTGTGTTGTTAAAAGGATGTTACAGTCTCAGTCGATTTCCTACCTAAAACCATCCTCATCATCTTCAGTGTTCCTGTTCGAGAAACAGCGAATAACTATCTAGCAACTGTGAAGAGAAATCTGCACCCAAGACTTTCAAAACTCTTTCAAACTCAGGATTGTTGCTTTTTCCTTTGTTCGCTTACTGGATTTTGGGGATTTTAAACCAGAACTAACCAAACTTCAAAATCAAAGATGCTATTTGTCTCTGACTTGCCACTGAAAATCTGATAGTACATAGGGAGAATGCAAATAAAGATTTATTTTGCAATGGTGGAAGATGTATAAAATCTAAACTGTATGCGTAAACATACATAAGATTATTTTTCCTACTGTGATTTAACCTTCAGTTTCCTTTTTTTATATTCTGTTCATGGTAAATCAGCACATCAAAAGATTATGCATTACATTTTAAAGCAAACGTGTTAGCAGGGTTTTAAAACATACCACAGAAAATTTATTTTCCCCATTACAGATCCTATATCCTAAGTCAGGAGTGCTGAATATACCACGAGTTAAACATATGGAACAGTGTTCATATCAGTTGAGCAGGGGAGGGGAGGGGATAAAAAAACTATACACAGTTCCCTCTGAGAGCCTGGCACAATGAGATATTTGGGGTTTTATTATTCTTTACACCTATCATTAGGTATCTGGGCAGAGACTCCTTTTCCTCAAGTTTCAGCTCAAACTCAGAATTTTGCTGAAGGAAATGCGTAAGATTTATGAAAATTCTAACTACTTTTCAGGTTAATGCCAAGAATATCACAGTCAAATTTAGTCCAGATACAGAACAGTTTGAAGAAGCGTGTAAAAAGCAATAGTTATTGTGAAAATTAATTTTTAATGAGAACGGTACTCAGCTTTGATAGAAAGCATTTTCTGGAACAGGTAGAGACCATGCTGAACTTCCTTGCACACCTGTGACCCCTGCTGATCAGTGTCAACACTTGATTAATATTTTACTGACAAAGTGTGAGATGACTCAAACTTTGTCTGTCTGGGTAGATGTTGCTAAGCAACTTTGCTCCTTGTGTGAGAACTAGTCTTCACAGCATCCTTTCCTTCAAGACAAAGACCTGCACCCACTTGAAACACTTTCTTCCTTTGTCAGTGAAAAACCCAGCATGTCGTATTCCACCCTTCCCTTTACATTTCCCTCCCCACCTGACAGTTAAGAAGAAATGAAGGTAACGGTGTTTGAAACGCTGTCCTTCCCTTACCATAATCGCTGTCGTAGAAGACGATGAACTTCTGCCAGCGCAGCTCGGTGACCAGCTTGAGCATGACATCGTTGAGGCGCACGGGCGGGCGCGCGGCCAGGGTGTACTCCTCGTCCTCCAGGCTGGGGTTGAGCTGGCAGGCAGTGCGCGGGGAGCCGCCCGTGCTGCGCTGCACGAACAGGTGCGGGATGTGCATGGCGTCCGTCAGCGACTGCAGCGCGTTGGCCGACGCGCAGCCCGTCGACGTCACCAGGGCTAAGATCCCCAGGGTCATCAGGTCGCAGGCTGGAGAAGACAAGACGTAAAGCAGGGTTTGAATGAGCTCAGCAATTCCTTTGGCCAACCTAGATGCTAAGAGAGGAAGGTTTTGCCCTTGCCGTCAACACAGGGCTGAAATTATTTATATTACACTATCAGCTGAAGCCTTTCAGAGTTAGGTCCTGGGCCTTTACAGTAGGAGACGGTATCTGCAATCTGTCCCAATATGCCAAAGTTGAGGACAGATAACGTAACCACTGTCAGTCCTTGAGACAGCAGCTGATGTGGATGGAGATTATGGCCCTTGCTTCAGACCATCCTGGTGCATGCAGGAACTGAATTTCCATTTTTTTTAAAACTCACTTCATTGCTTTAACCCCTTAATCCTTGCTGGGTACATTGGATGAAGATTTCGGACAATAAAGAGCAATTTCCATTCCAAGGAATCCATTCTCATACAGCAGAGTTTTGAAGGATTTTTAAAACCGATAAAAAACATTCACTGTGTATCTCAGAGCAATGAAGAAACAAAGGCATTCTTTAGAACCAAGACAGCTCATGAATGACTAAACAATTATTAACAACACTGTAGCTGTCCTTAAAAAGATCTGGAAAAGCACGTATTACTTCAAAACACAGCATATACATTTGACCCCATCTGTTTTTGAGAACGAAGCATTATTCTCATGCTGAGTTTGAAACACAGACCGTGGAGAGGCCTGGGCAGTCTGCTCTGCTGCTCAGGGCACCCCACATGGCGTGTTCATCTCAGGACTTCTCCAGATAACGCAACCTGATACTCAGCTGCAGTTGAGAGTATTTCCAGCCAGGGCATTTTCAGTCAATAGTGGTGAGAAGACTGTGTAAGACCATAAGGCAGCCAGTGATGCCGCTTTTTACTCACTCCAGTAATAAGTGGCAGCAAAGTTAGCCCTGGGAGCTCAGCACAGGAAACCCTCATAGGTTAGGCTGGCACCAGCCCTCTGGGTCCTCCAGAGGCACTAGGAAGCACCTGCTTCACCTCTGAAGAAGGCTGGGGGCAAGCTCAGGGGCTCAGCAGCTGTTTCAGACCCCAGGAAGCACCTGCCCACAGGAAAGCCTTGCTCTGCTCCCCCAGCACACAGGCCCAGCACAGCAAAGCCAGACAGAAGGGGACTGGAGATGCTCCACAGCCCTGTGCAGTCTGCACGAGCTCATTAACGGTGCACGAACGAAGAGCCTCTGGGGTGCAATTCAGAGCCCCATGGGACACACAGAGAGCTGAGCAGGAAATTCAGCTTCTAGCTGGAGAGGAAGGCTGCCCATGCTGGTGCTTCCCCCTGCAAGGAGAGCGCACAGGCTGTGGGACTGCCAGCACCGCGTCAGGGCTGGTGGCAGCAGGTGACCTGCAGCCACACTGCCACTGACCTGCTGCCTCATCTCCACTGGAGAGGCAGAAAAGAGAACACAATCTACTAAAGTCATTTCTTTATCTTCCTCCAAACACTTTTAAGTATATCTCCACTTTCAGAGGCCAGAAAGTCAAAGGAAGTAGGTTATGAATAATTAATAGTAATTAACAGTTAAGTATCAATTAATATTAATTACATAAAGTCTCCATAATTAAATGCATAGCTGTTTCTCACACAACCAACGAACCGCTCCACCAAAAATCTTCTTAGACCAGACAGAAAATAGATATATTTCACTTTGATATGGGATAACAGAAAGAAAATGTTTGATCCTCTCTGTGCACAGAATGTTCAACATGTATCCTGATGCAACAAAGATGAAGAGCTTTTAAAATTATTTCCTTGATGGTCTTTACAATAAACATATGTCAGCTGCATTATCTAAATTTACTCTGTGTTGATTATAGTTATATGAAATTGTTCTTTGCTTTTCCTGAGAGCTGACCTGATTTAACAGCAGGGAAGCATTATATTTGCCAAATGGGAGACCCAGGTTCGGGAACAGATTTGATTTCCCAGGCTTCTTGCCAGAGAAAACCGAACATGTTATACAGGTAATTTATTTAGTCACAGTAGGGGAGGGAACAGAGAAGTGAGAACAGAGGGAGAGAACAGCAAAGCTGAGCCATAAACCCCTGCAGAGATCACCAGCCAGCAAGCTTTGCTGTCACCAAGGGTGAGAGCAGCAAGCCACACGGGGCTGTAGCAGGAACAATTTACTTGCAAACCAGACAGAAGGAGACAAAAAACAAAGCCCTTTCTGATGGGAGGCTGCATTCAGAGAGTCACTTATTTGTGCAATTTAGAGCTGATCACCAGTTGTATAACAAGAAAAACCTTCACTCAGTGGCTGACACTAATCAAAAGCCGCTGCTTATTAGCAGCAGAAAGACCACAGAGGCAACAGATCATGGCAAATGGGCCCCCTTATCTGCCAGCACAGCCCACCAAACACAGCTGAAATATCTCAGCAAAGACCATTTCAGGTGAGGCATTTTCCCAGTGTTTTGTAGTTTGTGTCCATGGGTCAGATTGAAGAATGAGTCAATAGGCTTCCACATTCTGACATATTAATCAATTGATCATGTTCTGCTGAAAGCATATGCTACTTAGTAAGTGTGTGCTCCTCCTGCCTCTCTGTTTTGAGGTAGCAGGCATAAAAACTGGAATGACTAAAGGGAAAAAGAAAAAAAGGTTCCATGTTTTCTGAATTTCTTTCTTCAGTCAAATTACAGAATGTGAAACAGAACATGTCATTTCTAATAGAAGACTTTCATTATACAAAAATACAATGGATTCCAAGTAGTTCAACCTCTCCACAGTTATTGCACTGAACGGTGAGAATAAGCTTTGAGCACATAAAGAAGGAAAGTATTACTTTTTACATGAGTAACAACAACATAACAGACTCCATTAAAAAACTCATTAGGTCTTAGGGCATCTCAAAATTCCTTATCAAGGAATATTCAAGGACTATACAAACTTGGGAGAAAACTCTGGTGGACCACTTTTTTTTTTTTTTTAGGATTCCCCCCACATTCCTACAATTTCTTGCACAGAAAACTAACATTTGAAAAGAGATGCAATTTTCTGTTTAACTTCACAATAGGTATGGATTTGAAGCAACAGCCAAATATCCTTGACTATATGACTGAATAAATAGCTAATTCTGACTATGAAAGTTGCACTTTCATAAGCTTTCAAAAGAACCTGTGATTTTTGCATTACAATTTCTTAATCCTGATCTTGATTTTCTTACAAGCTGAATAAATTTGATTTGAAATGCTTTGGTCCACATCAAACTACATAAAGGAAGGGGGAATCAAAACACCTTGAGAACTTCAGTGATTTTCAACTACTATATTTGAAAACTATTATATAATTATATAACTATGATTATGGTAGTATACATTTAATATTCTTATAACTAAAATATTTCTAAATTTATTTATGTTGCAGGTATCTTTAATCAGATAGGTTTTAAGAAATAAGACTTTTAAAGTGTTTGTTCCAAAGATGAAAAGACAGAAAAGTTCTGGTAATCCTGCCCCCAGATCTGACTGCTGTTATTTAAGATATTAATTTACTGCACTGAGAATTACTTTATCTCTATGAAACTTCATTTTAAGAAGATACCAACAACATACAAACCATACAGTAAGAAACATGCAGTCTAACATGATGAAAACATGATCATCATACCTAAAGAATAAAACTTCATTAATCTATTTGAGCCAATTAAATCATGTCATGGTGCCTGTTCAGTGTTGGCCTCTATCAACAGACTATCTCTCAAGCTTATTCTTGGATTTCATTGAAGTTCCCCAAATTATTGTTTAATCCTGTTTGTAATTGTTTTGGTGAAGTACCTCTCCTAACCTATTCTTTTGAAGTCTGTTTTCAGAGAGTCCCTTTACACAACTACTTAATATTTTACATCTTGAACTGTAATATCCATCACAGTGTTTTACAAGACACTGCTTTCTTCTCCATCTATGGCCTCTAATTTTACTCTCACATCATAAAAATATATATGAAACTCATGTTTTGTATATATCATGTGACCCACGTCTCTAACTCCAAATACATTCCACTGAGACCACACTTAAGCCTGAAACAGAAGCTATTCATTTTAACTTTGCCTTATCTGTACGACTATTCTCATCACTGGGACTCCTCATGGCACATGAGACAATGCAAGACTTCTACTTTGCTGCAATCATCCTTCAGGTTTTGCATTTCTACCACTGCTTCCTGTACTTCCTAATCCTGAAGACAGGTACAGATGGCAAAGTCCTGATTTGGCACCATCTTCATGGGGATATTTGCATTAAGAGCTTTATCTCAGATCTCTGTAATTAAATCCCTCTCTCCCCAGACCACTGGGGATTAAAATACTCCAAGAGGAACTGTTATCTTGCTCCTGGAAATGTGACAACATGACCATGTCTCAGTCTCCATTTCAGTGATTTCCTATTATCAGAAAAGGGTAGAAACTTGTTCCTTTGTTTCCTCCCTTATCCATAGAGCAGCTGCCAGTGTAATTTCAGCTCTAACAATATATCCACCTACTGGCATTCACACTGCCTCTTCAAACTTCGATGTCTTTCTGTCTCTCACCTCTGGGCACCACCATCCTACTCACTCTGGACACCCTCTCATATTTAATAAATCCTCTTCAAGATTTTAGCTGATTTTTTTTTTCCTTCATTCAGTTTGACTAACCCTTAAGGAACTCTTCACTGCAAATGGAAAATCATCCTAATCACAAATAACTTGCATTTGAAAAAAATCACTGTCTGGAAATCGAGAGGCTGTTGCCTTTCTGCTTGGAAAGATTTTCAAGGGAAGGAAGATAACTTCAGACATGCTGTATTACCCTGCAATGAAGTGATTAACTAAGTTGGCACTTAAGTGTCTGTGATTAGGTTTGAAAAACACCTTCCTACTGAGACGAGGGACTTCATGCTTGCTTCAGTACTACTGCCTCAGTCAATCTGAGAGAAAACAAATTTTTCACATTATTTACCTTTGAAAACCAGTAGGAAAAAAAAAATTGTCATTAAAACAAAGTCT